GCGATAAATGCTGCGCAGCTACTTGAATCGCGCTTCATTTGTGTGCCGAGCGGCCTTGGAAGCGGAAGCAAGCCGTTGGATAGCGATTTTGAGCGCAAAGGTGGATTCTGTGACGGTGAGAGGCAGAGAGAGAGAAAGAGAGAGCTTAATGAACTAGAGCGTGGGCCAGTCACGCTTGTGCAAGTGCGGATGCGTTTTTGCCTGGACTTTGGGCACAGCTGTGTCAGGCCGTTCTGTCAGTCAAAAACAAACAGTGACGAAGTTGCTGAAGTGCGGGCCTATGCTCGGACAAGATGCAACAGTAGTATGCGGCAGCTCTGATCTGTCTCTTTTTTGGACAGATAAAAAGAATTTACAACTAACTGACCGGTGCATGTAGGGGAGCGACTTCGCCCCTCACTGCGCTCTGAGGAATTGCCAAAATCGTCCGTGCAACAAGGAAAAAGTGCGAAAAGTTTCAAGCCAGCGGATGCAAAAATCCCATTTTTCTAACCTCTCCCGTCAGTTTTTACTCTTTGTTTCCTCTGCCACACCTCCGCCCTTCCATTACTTCACCTTCTCCCTATACCGTCCTCCGAGCTCTTAAGTCATCAATTATAAAACATCGGATTTTGGCTCGAAAATTCGTTTTATTATATCTTAATAAGCAGTGCAGTCAGCCAAAATATGCGCTTAGAAAAGCGACATAGTTTTGCTATCTTTATGGTAACTTGTTTATACTGACAGGGTGGGAAGCGATGAAATCGCGAAAGGCGTTTTTCACAGCTTCTTCAGAACAGAATATTTTTCCTTGCAAGAAATGGCACAACCCCTGGAAGAAATGGTAGTCAGTTGACGCAGGGCCTGTTGAATACGATGAGTGACGAAGAGTTTCCAAGTCCAATAGTTCGAGCAGCGTTGTTTGTGCGACATGTGATCGAACGCTAACCTGCAAGAAGACTGTCCTGTCTCTGTTGATCAGTCTGGGCTGTTTAATCGCTAGCTTCCTCATCACTTCGTCCACTTGGTTGCAGTAGACATTCGCAGTAATGGGATGACCAGATTAAATGACCGCCAGATAGACACTGTCAAATTTTTCTCGTGAATATTCGATTTTGGACTGGGTTCAGGCACTTCATCTTTGCTCTGCCATCGTGCTGAATGATTACGAATTTCGAAAGAATCCATTTTTTATCACGCATAACAATACGATGTAATAAATAGCAGCGCGCACCAGAATAGCCGGTGTGATATGCGTTTATGCAATTCCGTCTACCGAACAATTGCCTCTTAATGATTTTCACTGCTTTCTACTTCAGTCTGTGCAAAAATAGTTGAAATGTGGAAAAATAGTTAAAAATTTCATGCATCGGTACGTGAAAGCTGAATTTGAGACCTCGAACGACTGAGGCAGGAAATATTCTCCTGGAATTTTCAGCTTCCTAAATCTTCCGGCTCCTGAGTCAATGATTTTTATCGCTAAAATTTCCACGGGACGTTGAAAATTTGCGGAGTTGTAGTGTGGGCAGGGGATGCCTCGCTGAAATTTCATCTTCCTAGCTTTTGCAGCTCACAAGGCAATTTCCCTCCAAAAACTTCACGAGGCCGTGCGTGGGACCCAGGGGTGCGTGAAGGCCGAAGCCAAATTTGCGGAGGTTGGTAGGGGGCATTGCTATAAAATTTCAGATTCCCAGTTATCGTGGTTCCCGAGATAACAATTCTCCCCGCTGAAACTTCCACAGGGCCGTAATACCTGGGCGCGTGGGAAGGCTGAATTTGGATTTCCGGGATTGTATGTGGGCAGGGCAAAGTTTCAGCTTCTTGGCTTTTGTGGTCCCCGAGATAATTTGCCCGCCAAAATTTTCACGGGGCCGTAGGTGACACCTGAGAGCGCGGATTTGGAAAGCTGAAATTTTAGGTAACACCTAAAATTTCAGCTTTCCAAATCCGTGGTTCACGTGATAATAATTTTACCCGCCAAAACTTTTACGGGGCCGTACTTGTTACCAGCGGGCAAGGGGAGGCTGAATTAAATTTGCGAGCTCATACATTGGCGAGGAATATACCTCTAAGTTTTCTGCTTCCTAGCCGTTGTGGTTCCCGAGTTGAAAGTTGCGGACAAACACATACACAAACAAACAACTCCGTGGCAGTATGCGCTTTGTACAACTGTTACACACCACAAAACGCATAAAATTGGTTTGCTTTTATGCCATGACAGCAAACAAAGGCAATCTTTCCAGACGGCCTCTCTTCTGACGCTTGTTTTAATTCATGAGGAGTCCGTCTGTCTAGCTTCTTTACTTTGCCGATTTGTCTCAAATAGTCCACTATTGTTGGAATAGGAACGTCAAACCTTGCTTCTAATTTACGCCTAGTATGGAGGTGTTTCCGCACCATTGCAGTTTTTAGCTCATCGTTATTCACCTTGGTCTCAGGTCTCCCAAGCGGCTCATTTTCAAGAGTAAAATCGCCAGAGCGGAGCTTCTCGAATCCGACGTATTGTACGTTCATTAGCCACACCCTTGTCACTGGTTTCACGGCGGAACTCGTATTCATAAAAAACATGACTTTTTGACTTATCCATGGTTCCACAGAAACTGTCATAAAACAGACATTTCGAAAAACAAAATAAAAAGTCAAAGCATGTATTTGAAAAAGCGATAATGTAGCTTCACAACAAAAAAAGCCAAGATCTGTCAAAGGAGATATCGACCCTCAAATTCGGTGTTTAGAAAAGTCGAACATTTCGATTAACGATTTCATATGATCTCGCCTTTACTGCTGTAATGTCTTTTCATTTTTATGCGTTTTTGCTGTACAACGCTATAGCAGCTATAGCGCAGCTACAGCCAGCAAAAACGCATATTGTCGAGAGGCTGTGTGTTTGTTCAGAAGCGAGTGCATTTTGTCACCCACTTTCGTCTCAGCAACCAGGAAAGCTGGGAGGCTAAAACTTTGGGTGTATGTTCTTATCCCCTGTGTCACCCTCCCGTTTCAAGATATTCCCTCACATGCGCCTAGACCCCCTCGCGTCGGACCCACAAAAAATATGCAAATTTCTTTGGCGGGAAACGATTTCGCGAACTAGGCAGGGTAAAAGACCGAAACATTGCAGGAATATTCTCTGTGCAAGTGTGAGCTAAAGATTTTAAACTCAGCTGTCGAGCACGCTTGTGAAGCAAGTACAATCACGTCAAAGTGTGCGACTTGATGCTATGCTAATCCGAAAACTTGCAGGAAAACAGTGGCTGAAATTTTGTCAGGATGTTTGTCTCTCACATAGGAAATAGTATACCTAAAATAAACCGATCTGCACTTGCGCCACGATTTAGGGCACTTCAAAGATATTTGTAGCGAAATGGATGTTTCGCTTTTTGGATAAGCTGCGACGCTGAGGTATTCTACTTTCATGTGCAATCTTAATTTTGCTTGGAGGTGGAATTCCCTCCAGGTAGGCATGTAAAATAGTTAACTTTACCGAAAAATCAGAAACGAGTGCGTTTTGCAGCGAATGACCGCCCTCACCCAAATATGTAAATGAACATTAGTGCATGTGCATACTTGGATTTTTTAACAAATGGCCTCTCGAGCAATACTTTCACTTTTTAATGAACTGGGAATTTGCATTTTTTCGAAAAATTTGTATTTTTCATCTTTTCACAAAGCGATGGACTTTGTGCAAAGAACTGGTGATCATGCAGCTGGATGTCTGTGCGGGTCTATAATGCACCACCTTCATCTCAACCGACATCCTTCCTCGTGCATGCTGGAAGGGGCCAAAGCACGGCCAATATGAGCCCAAGCGTTAGGCTGCAGCGTAGGGGTCATACCTGCTAATAGCGATCTGCGAGTTAACGACGGTTCCCTCTTTCATCATGTTGAATATCGGGCCTAACAGCAATTTTTTCAAAAAGATCCTTTGTGTTTGCCTTCTAAAAGCCTATAGGAATACGAATGTACAACAACACGTTTGTAATAAAACACACGTTTTTCTCACATATATCCAGAGCTTCTCCAGATCCTCTTTTCCAGGTGAATTTGCTAGCAAAATGAAATACGGTAAAGCCGCCAAATGGAAATACAATGAGTCGATTGTGCTGTGTGGTACCAATCGTATCCCACATACCCACACATAGCCGTCGTACACACCAATTGCAGCTGGTGTGCATACTACACGCAGCCCCCATTCAAACCACGCGTAGCCCCCTATACACGTACGGCGCTCTGTACCACACACAGACGCCGTACACCAAACACCGCCCTCGCACACACTATGCGCAATGCGCAGCCGCTCAGTAAATGCGCGTAAGGAATAAGTGAGATGTATTTCAAATCGACATTGCAAACGCGATGCGGCTCTTTGGCGTACGGCTACGGTCATTCACGATAGGCGGTAAGTTTGAATTCACGCCACGTGCTAATGGCAGTGAATTGGGCGGGGGGATGGGCAAGGAGGTGGTCCCATCCACGTCATTGGTGTCCTAGCCTGGGCACTAGGGGAAGGGGAAGAGGTGAGGGAAACAGCGAAATGCAGTGGCGGTTGGAAATGAAGGGTGTACTAATCCACCTCACCTCCAGAACTGCGAAAGCTAGGAAGTTGAAGTTGTCCTAGTAAATATGCGGGGTAGCGATGGGCCGTTAATTCGTCAACTCGCACAAATGATCAAACC